ACCTAACCTCTCTGAGCTGAACCTCTCCAAACCTCTCCGAACCGAACCTCTCCAAAACCAGTCCGAACTTAACCTCTCTGAACCTCTCCGAACCGAACCTCTCCCAACCTTTCCCAACCTCTCCAAACCTTTCCTCTCCGAACCTCTCCTCTCTGAACCTGTCCGAACCAAAACTCTCCGAACCTCTCTAAACCAAACCTGTCCAAACCTCTCTGAACCTCTCCTCTTTGAACCTCCCCCAACTGAACCTCTCCCAACCAAACCTCTCCCAACCAAACCTCTCCTAACCTCTCTAAACCAAACGTCTCTGAACCGAACCGAACCGAACCTCTCCGAACCGAACCTCTCCAAACCGAACCTCTCCGAACCGAACCTCTCCAAACCGAACCACTCAAAACCTCTCCAAACCGAACCTCTCCAAACCAAACCTCTCCGACCCTTCCCAAACCTCTCCAAACCGAACCTCTCCCAGCCGAACCTCTCCAAACCGAACCTCTCCGAACCGATCCTCCCCAAACCTCTCCGAACCGAACCTCTCCCAACCTTTCCCAACCTCTCCGAACCTTTCCTCTCCGAACCTCTCCTCTCTGAACCTGTCTGAACCAAACCTCTCCGAACCTCTCTAAACCAAACCTGTCCAAACCTCTCTGAACCTCTCTGAACCTCCCCCAACTGAACCTCTCCGAATCAAACCTCTGCAAACCTCTCCGAACCGAACCTCTCCGAACCTCTCCCAACCAAACCTCTCCCAACCAAACCTCTCCTAACCTCTCTAAACCAAACGTCTCCGAACCGAACATCTTTGAACCTCTCCAAACCGAACCTCTCCAAACCGAACCTCTCCCAGCCTTTCCAAACTGAACCTCTCTGAACATTTCTGAACCTCTCCGAATCTCTCCTCTCTGAACCAAACGAACCTCTCAAAACCTCTCCTCTCCGAACATCTCCCAACCTCTCCGAACCTCTCTAAACCAAACCTCTCTGAACCCAACCTCTACAAACCTCTCTGAACCTCTCCTCTTTGAACCTCTCCAAACCAAACCTCTCCCAACCTTTCCTAACCTCTCCTCTCTGAACCTTTCTGAACCTCTCCGAGCCGAATCTCTCTAAACCTCTCCTCCTCGAACCTCTCCCCTCCAAACCTCTCCTTTCTGAACGAAACCAAACATCTCTGAACCTCTCCGAACTGAACATCTCCCAACCTTTCCGAACCTCTTCTCTCTGAACCTCCCTGAACCGAACCTCTCCGAACCTCTCCTCTCCAATGCTCTCGTCTCTGAAACCTCTCATCTCTGAACCGAACCTCTCCAAACCAAACCAAACCTCTTCTCTCCGAACATTTTACTCTCCGAACCTCTCCTCTCTGAACCTCCCCTCTCCAAACCATTCCGAACCTCTCCTGTCTGAACTGAACCTCTCTGAACCTCTCCGAACCTCTCGTCTCTTCTCTGAACCTCTCTCTCCTCTCATCATTTGTGGACCTTGGTTTCCTTCACCGAGCAGTGTTTGGGTGTAATGGGGAGGTGTTTTAACTACATAAAGCCTAAAAAGGGCTTCCAGGTAAACCCTGTAYTGCAAACCTTATTTGAAATGAAGTGGGTTTGATACAGACATCACTCTRAAATGTTGCACCTTGAAAGTGAGGCTTGTTTTCTGTCTCCAAAACCTGTGAAAGATCGGGTGTCTTAGGGGCTGAAGGCACATTACAAGTCTCAGACTGAATCTTAGTTCTTGCAATGCAGACTTTCCACACGGATTCCTTGCCACCTTTTGAGCTGGAGCAAAATTCCTGGAAGGTCACTGGAAATTCTGACTGTGTTGTGTTTGCTCTAATTTTCCCTGTTGGATTTTTGGCAGTGGTTATGCTGTGGCCAGCAGCAGTGATGACCGAATGAACGAACCACCCACCTCTCTTGGACTTGTTCCTCATCAGGTAAATGTTTTGTGGGTAAATGCTTTTGTTTGGGAACTGGGAACTCATCAGCACAGGCTTTGTCTCCTTAAAAATCTGATTCCATTTCCCAGAAGAGTGACTCAGTGCTTGTTAAGAAATAAATTTAAATGATCTATTTATATTTTAACTCATAACACAGGCCCAGGCAGTGTGTTCCTGGTGTTTGTCCTACTCATGAACACACAATTTCTGCTGAGCAGCAATTTGTTTGGAGCAGGAATTATATGAACAAAGYAATTTCTGTCTTTTCTGTGCTCCATCAGAGGTGACAATATGGGCATCTCAAAGTTACTTTTGTTCACTTTTTAAATCTCGTCAGCATTTGAAAACAATTCAAATCAGCGAATTCACAATTATTACAGTTCTCCATAATATTCCTGTAGTTTTGGATACAGATCAGCACATTTTATTTCTACTCAACCCAAACTGTAGTTACAAATGTGTTAAAGGTACAGYGTTTTAAAAAATCTGTTTTAAAATTTTAAAATTCAAGTATGTTATAATAAGAAATGTAATAATAAGAATTTGTAATAATAAGAATTACTTAAATTCTGTTTTTTGTGACATCCCTTCATTGTAATAGACCTGGAAAAGCGCAGAATAAAAAGGAAGATCAATACTCCAAAGAGTTCATAGTTGAAATAACCAAACTGTCCTGCAAAATGTTTTCAGAGCTCTCTCTGTCAGCAAAAATAGTGGTCTGGAATTTAAAAAAAATTTAAAATAACCTATCAATAATATCAAATTAACTTCATAACTGAGGAATGGACAACAGTGAAATTCTCAGATTACAGGTTACAGAGATGGGGAAAAAAATGTGTGTAAGTGGTCATCAAACTCTGCACTCAGACCAGGCCAACTGCAGATGGTGCTGTGCCTCTGTTTCTGGTGAAATYGTGCTGCATTTGGAAATCTGTGCCATTATTTGTGTCTAGAAAAACAGTAATGTGTGCTCAGTGTAAATTTACTGCAGGTGTTCCTGGGGGTTGGAACATTCTAGATGTCCTTTTTATTGAATGGATGTGCAATGGAATTTTTTTTCATCTTCTAGATCCGAGGGTTTTTATCCAGGTTTGATAACGTCCTCCCGGTCAGCCTGGCGTTCGATAAGTGCACAGCCTGTTCAGCCAAGGTAAGGCTGGCTTTGCCTGTGCTTTATTTATATATTTCTAGGTCAATTTTGGGGCACTTTTTGACATTTTCTCTGATTTCTTAGGGGTTGCAATCTGCCCTCACTTCAGCAAAAGTTCTTTTGCCCTCGTACCCTTTTTTTGTAGCTGTTTTCCAAATTCCTTTGCCATCACTCTTGGCATCCTGCACTATTTATCCCCAAATAAATGSTGCCATCAGCTGAAGAATCCAAGCAGAGACTGATCAAGACATTTCTGAAAAGTTTGTCACAGAAATCCTGCCAACATCCTTCAGCTTTGTAGAAAGGAGTGAGATTGGTGTTGTTTAAGAAATCCTGATGTCTGATKAATCAATATCTCTTTAGCCYTCTGCAGTTTGATGTCTTTACAAAYAGGCAATTTGTAGGCAATACAAAATTGCTTAAATTTCTGGTTTGTGATACAAAATAGAAAAATAATTAATGATTGGGRAGGAGAATTGCCTCTTACCATTCCTTTATTGACCAGATAGTTCATTTTGCTGCTGGTTCATTTTGTCCTGCTGGAGCACTGGGGCAGCTCTTGCAGAGGAAAAAAAAAATTTCCTCTGGCAAGTTTTTTCTGGCCATGGAGTGCAAGTTCCAGCAGTTTTCTCTGGGATATCTCAGTCAGAAGATCCAGAGGGTTTGACTCAAGGGCTGAGCTGCTTGAGTTAATTAATTAATTGAGTTCACTCTCCTGTACCTTTGACTGCAAGGAGTTCTCTGTTCCTTTCACTGCTCTTGTCCTCCTTTCAAATAGCCATTAAAAAATAATGGGCCACTGTAATCTTCTGGAGAACTTGCACAATATCTCCTCTACACTATTCCTTTTTTTCCTCTGGGCTATATGAGTACATTTGATGAGTTTTGGAGGACTCTCTATGTGTATTTTCTCTTCAAAAGTTGAAGTGCTAAACTTAGACGTTTCTAAAAATAACAGCAGTTTTATCTGCCCTCTCGAAGAGCTGAAAGCTCAGCAGTGGCTAAAACCTTGATGGTGGAGCCTGAGAATTTAAACTGTTGGGGCTGTTTTCTTTTTCTCTTYTTTTCTTCTTATCTCCACTTCAGGAAACACTGCTGTGTAAAAACAATAAAAATGTACATCTACATAGATAAATTCAGTGCGGGTATCAATTTTTTTTTTAGCAAATCATTTCCTCTTGGAGGTCATTTTAAGAGAGCCCCGTTTGACATAAACACACTCGATGATTTAATAAAAACTGACTTGGATTTTAGCAGCTGTGCTATTCCCAGAGAGATCACTTTTCATGTGGTTTGGGGATTGAATTACTGGTGTGCTGAAAAGGTTGCTTCACTGGCTCACGGATTTCCTTACAGTAGAAACACAGCCTTTGTTTGCTTTGCTAACTTTCTATTTATTAGCATAAGAAGATGTCACCCTGCATTATGGGGAAATCCGATGCTGATACTTGGAAATGACAAAGCCAATTACAATTTCATTGCAGTCTGGATGTTGGTTTGTTACGTGAGGGTTTGTTTTGTTTTGGGTTTTTTTTTTTTCAGTGTAATAATTAAGCACCATTTCATCCTGCTCCATGTCAGATTTGCTGTAGATGCAGACTTTCAGCACAGAAGTGGCTTTGCTGGTAGAATTGAATTTGCTGGCATTGTTTTTCTTTTGTCAGCATTCTCCTCCTTGAGCCCTGTCACTCTGTAACTCCTAAAACACAAAACCAATGAATTAGGAATTTTAGAAGAATTCCTGTRCATCCTGAAACCATCCAGTCCAGCTGAGAGACTTGGGAGGAGCTGCTAATGATCTGCATGTTTCCAGATCAGAGTCCTTTCCATTTGCACTCAGTCATTCCTTCATTYCTGTGCTTTTGAAGCTGCAGAGGCCAGACATCGAGCAGCCAACTTCTCACCCAGARCTGTCCTGAGCAGGCTGCGTGCCACAGAAGCTTCCCACAGGCAGTTGTTCAGGAATTTTGGGATGGTCGCAGCAGGAAACCAGTCTATTTTTTTTCTGGGCCAAATCTGCCTTGTACGATACCCCACTGTCTTATTCTGGTTGTGCAGAAGCTGTGCTGGAATGTGAAATATCCCTGTCAGAGCTCAGGGTGCTGCCCTGCCACTGGAGAGCAGGGAGAGCTCTGCTGCTGCCAAACTTGTCCTGGCACTGACAAGGGAGACTCCAGAGTTCTGTGGGATGGAGATTTATTTGTAACAACTGCTTTACTCACAGGAGAGAGCCTTTAGCTTATTACTGACTGTGCTAATTAACCCMTTGGGAGCAAAATGAGGCTGTTTTCTCATAACACTATGGTGAGAAGCACTGCAGTTCCTTGGAGAAGTGGAGCAGTTCTGATCCTGTGCTACGTGATCCCTGCAGATAACTGGCTAAAGCCTTGAAACTCGAATGTTGAAATATGGATGTATTTTAATGCCAAACTGCCAGTGTTTCAATTTGAATGAGGGCAATAAAAATTTCCTYATTATTGCTCCCCTTTGTTTCTTGTGCAACATGGAATGACCAAGGAGACCCCACAGATCCAGAATTTATTGTCACAAAAGATARTTGTGATGTCAGCCTGGATGTTGAGATGCCCCCTCTGTTTTCACACATAGCTCACATTTCCTGCYGAGTCAGGATTTATCACCCATGTGCTGCAAAGCTGACTTCTTCTCCTTAAAAAGATTTTTTTCTCATTCACCTACTGCAGCCATTCTCGTGTGTAATCATCCCTACTACGAATTTATAAAAATCAGCATGAGGATCCCTGCTAATTTTCAAGTTTTTCCCCAACTTTCAGCTGAGCTGCTGCAGGGGTTTTTCAGCCCTGAGTTCCTGTGAACGTTTCTCAATTTCATTGCATGTCACAAAGGGCAGGCCCTGGGCTCAGGGATGGCACTGTTGGCTTTATGCTCCAATTCCTGTTTGCAGTCAGGCCATTCCCTGCCCTTGCAGATGTTTTCCCTTTTTGCCTGGATCCCAGGAATCCATTAAACGCTTGTGCTGTGACATTTACTGAGCGCTTGGGTTGCGTAAGTTATTTACGAGTGTTGCACTTTGGAAATCTGTCATCGTGCAGYCTGAACAATGCTTGCATTGTTCTCCTCTGCCAACTGCTGTGCGTGCATTTTTATTTGGAAATAAAATCATTCTGATCACTCATGACAGCAACCTGTGAGATTCAGTCGCTTACTGATGGTTTTCAGTTGAGATAATTTTTATTTTGATTCCAAATCCTTCATTTTGCCCTGAGTGCACCGAGACATTCCTATCTGCCTTCTCCCAGTAGCAATGCATGATCTGTCACTGAAATCCTTTGAGTGTTTTTATATTGTACATTTCTCAATTCAAGTATTGTGTTGGTGTAAAAGTCATGGGGGAAAAAAGCCTCGGTCTTTCCTGTACTAAAAAAAAAAAAAATTCACTCAGAGCTTGCAGAAATGATGAAGGAAATGGGGAGAAATGTTTGTCCTTGAGGAATGAACATTTCAAAAATTGAAGAGAATGTTTTAGAAGAGTTATTTCTGTAGCTGTGCTGTAACCTGAAGTCAGTGAAACAGAGTCCATTTTTCACTTTTCTTATTTCCTGAATTTGCATTTGTGAACATTTCACAAGTCTCTGTACAGTGCAGCCTCTGTGTTAATATTGGACAGATTTCACTGAGGCTTGAGGAATGCATATGAATATACCTGGGCATATTTTCAGCACACTGAGTTCAATCTGCTGCTTTTCTTACTCTTAAGGTGGCATAGAAATCAATTTTCCCATTGTTACATTTAACTTTAAAAATAGTGGGGTTTAAGGGAAAGAAGAAACCTGCCATTTTTTAAAACAATGGGATCATATTTYGGACAGATTGTATTTCTGTTGCATTTAAATTAAATTTTATGGGTATTAAAGGAGTTTTTTTGTTTCTTTTTTTCCCAATATTTCTTACTTTTTCAATTCAATTACATTCTAACTGCAGCTAGTACAAAGTAAAGAACTGATCAATGAGGAAAAAGACAACAGCACTGCCGTTTTCTAGTACTGATGTGTTCAAATAATTTTTAATGATTTATATTAATGACAACTGCGTGCTCTTGTCATTTCTATGAAGCTGTTACACAATGTCTTTTCTGCCAGTTAAAACAAAACTGAACTAAAATATTCTGATGTGAAATATCTGTCTAGAAAAACTGCAAAAACAAACCTGGAGATTGAATTGGATCAAAACTCAGCAAATATTCCATGTGTGGTGCTGGGAGGATGATGATGATGGGGTTCATCCCACCCTTGCTGAGTGCAGGAACACTTCCACCCCTCATTCTGTAGGATTGAACCTGGAATTCAAAAGATCAGGTGTTCATTTTGCTGGGTATGAGCAATTTGTAGTTGTTCTTTTTAATTCCATAAGATTTTTGCATATTTGAAGCCTAATGCTTTCTATTCYCATGTTTATTTTTCAGTTATTCCAAGGATTCAGTGCCTATTCGTGGACTTTTCTATTTGAATTATTGCAGTTGTTTCTCATATTTTTCCATATTATCATTGTATCTTTGACAGGTGTCTCTACACTGATACTTGTTTCCTTAAATTAAATAATCATCAGCCTTTCTTTGTTGGAAAACTGGGTTTTTTTAGAAATATTTTTGAACAGTTAAAGTTAAGTTTGACTTTCATTCTATTTTTCCACATTTTTACAGTGCTGATATATCTGTCCTTACAGAATTGCTTCTGTTTTCTTTGAAATTGGGAAAGAGTGGAGAGAATGTAATTTTAAAAGGTGGTAAAATAGCAGAAATTGATGAAATTCAGTAATTATTTTTTGAAAAAAATATATTTTGAAAAAAATTCTGTTGCTCCTCCAATGCTGTTTTGCATAGCTCTTGTARCACATCCAGACAACAAAACCCTCTGCTCTGAAATAGTCTACAAAATGTGGATTTTTGAGCTGGAGATGTGGGTTTGAGAATTACTGAGCAGCAGCAGCAGTTTGTGCCTGGGGCAGTGCCAGTTTTGGGTTCT